CCGAGCCTCCCCCGCCGCGCTCCTGGGCGGCCGGAGGGCCGCCTCTCGGGCTCAGGCAACCGTGGGGCACCATCTTCTCGGGCGGATCTGGCAGCGGGCTGCCTACGGCTTCGGACAAATTAGAGACCCTCTTGCCAACCAGACTGCCAAGCTGACCCCCGTCCAGAAACATAACCATGTCCTTTCGGCTCTCCATCCCGGGGCTCTCCGGAGGGGGAGGAGGGAAGCCCCAAGTGAGCTCCTAACCCCCGGCTCCCTGGGACCCCAGCGGTCGGACGGATCTAGGCTGCGAAAGGAGCAAGAGAAGCCGGGCGACTGGGCTGGAGCCGAGCAGCCACAGCGCGGTGTCGACGGCGAGGCGGAGGTGGCGGTGGGGAGCTGGGGTCACCTTGTGATGCGAGCGCTCCTCTGTGCCGCACCGCCTCTGGGAGGAAGCCCCATTGCCCTCTTCTTTCTAAGCTGTCATCCTCCCGCTGCAATCGTCATTACAGTACCGCTGGTGACGCCACTCGGCGAGCGCAAGTGGATAAATAGAAACGTCTGCCACAGCGAAGATGAAAGGAGACCCGCAGCTAATGGCTCGGCAGTGATGCGCCAGGTGTGGGCCTCGCTCGAATGGGGAGGAGAGTGTGAAAACAGAGAGACACACACACTGAGAGGGGAGACACCCAGTCAGAGGGGATGCAAATGGAATTCCGCAGAAAGAAAAGAGAGAGCTTAAGGAGCGCAGGAGTTCCGCAGGGGCAGCGGGACTCGGTAATTGAAAATGCTTTTGATTCTTCTCTTATTGTTGTTTTGACTTTTGCTTTCTTAACTTGGTGCCTTGATCCAACACTGATGAAAGAATTTATAAGTGTGTTTTGGAAGTATGAAGGCCGGCTTACTAGCCGTGATTCTCTCCGCATTATTACAACTGCCTGCCCGCGTCAGCTAACCTCAAACTGACTCCAAAGACTTTTATTTTTTTTTTACAAGCTACTGGAAAACGTATCCCCTGCCACAAGTTGTCTGGAGACTTTGAGCCTGGGGTGTCCTTGGCTCCTTCTTTTGCTTCCCCCACCTCATGTGTCTCCTTCCTCCTAAAACCAACGTTGACTATTTTTCTTCCCCAAGGGACAGGAGATAAATATCATAATTTTTCTTTAGAGGATCTGTATTGCCTGCTTGACTCAAAGTATTTGATGATTTTATTTTGTTTTGTTTTGTTTTAAATTCTCCCTCTTCATCTAGATGGCCTTAAGCTTTCCGCAGCTGTCTTGACCAGGAGGTGGCTATTCAGAGAAGAAATTGCTTTCCGTTTGATCCGGCCTTGCTGGCACTTCAGGTATGTTGCGTGGGGAGAGGTTCTAAAAGTGGTGCCATTTCTTTTCTTGCCTGCATTTTAAGGTATTCATTCAGAGTCAACGAATTCTCCTGGAAACAGGTTTTTCCAGTGAAGAGGTGCTGGCAAACGCAGCCCCTATTGCAGCAGCACTGGCGGCCCCCAGCTGGGATGATGCTTGCCCTCCCTCCAGGTTTTAGGGCAGGAGTTGAGCAAACCAAGCGCGTGGGGTCAGCAGAGGTTGGAGCCATAGCATCCTCCTGTAAGCCCTTCTCAGGGGCCACAATCCTTGGCTTCAAAAGCTGGGGGTAGAAGAGAGAGAAGTTGCTGAAATGCCCTGAAAGAGCAAGTGCCAGGCGATCCGCCAAGTCTTTGGGGATGGAAAGCCAACTCCCACATCAAGGTGGGAGGAAGTAGGGGCAGGGTTGTAGAACTTGGTGTTTAAGGGAGGCTACAGCCTCCCAGGAAGGTATCATCCAATCCTTTTACAATAGCCCCTTATGGACGCAAGGCAAGTGTGAGAGCCTGGCAGGTGGGCTGGCTCTTTCCCCACTCTGAGGAGGGTAGGAGGTGGGCACCTTCCAGGCTGGCTCCTCTTTCTCTGTCTCCTTCCCAAGAGCTCCTAGAATTATGCAACCAGCTGGAAAGGATGGTCTCCGCCTGTGGGTGATTTCTCCATATTCTTAGCCAAAGCCCTGGCTTCTAAAGAAAAATCCTGTAGCACTACCTTTTTATCTCCTATCCCCTGCTTTTCTTTCCTCCTTTTTCATTTCCTCTACTCTAATTTCTTCCCACCCCTCCTCCAATCTTCCCATCTTTGGGGTTATGAAAGTGGCGGCAGAAGCAAGAAGTTCAAAGAAAGATAATTGTCTCCCCACTTCTGCTCTCCCCTTCTCCCCCAGTTCAATAAGATATTCATAGAATTCTTTGGGGGACAAAGGCAGATGGGTCTGGAAGGTAACATCCACTCCCTGCACATCCCAAAGCCCCCATCTGTGGGGCACTGCTAGCCCAGAAAACTGGGGAAATATTTCAGATACTGCAGAGGAGCAATTGAAAGTGGGGAGATCAAATGCCAGAACTTTCTGTTGCAGTGAGTTGTCCATAGATCCTGTCACACCCTGACCTCAAGCAGCCAGAGACTGAGGGACTCCTGGCTCACTCTCCCTCCTGTCAAAGCCCAAGGAGACCTCTGAGTGGCTCTCTTAGTGCTGCTACCTCATTGTCCAGTGGGCCTTTGAGCATTGGGCCTGGATGGCACCCACTCTCCCTCTCCCTTGTAAACACCACCTTCTCAGAGCCACCTTACTGCCCCCACTTCTTGACACTGGACCTCAGAGGGACTTCAGGCTCCTCTGTCCCACCCCCAGTTTAGCATTCAATGGAAACGCCCTGTGTTTGATCCTCTCTTCCTCTGGGTTTTCTCTGGAGATGAAAGCCAGTAGGATTGGGAGATCAAGGGATGCCATTTAGTCTCCTTCCTGGTTAGGTCTTAAGGAGTAGGGCTGCATTCCTCAGAGTGGGGCTAAATGGGGGCTCAGCCTCTTGGAGAGGAGCTGCTTTTTCTAAGTTTCAGAGCCAGATCTTCAGGGATATCTCTCCCAGCAGACCCCCCACCACAAGCCTCCGCAGACTTCTGCCCACCCTTTCGAAGCCGCCTGCATGTCATCTTCAGTCTTTAGGAGCCACTGAAAGCCCAGGTGCATGAGGAAAAAAAATTTTAACTAAATGTCACTTCTAAAAGCATCCTTTCATCAATGTCAGATGAAGAGAAGTTGGGTTGTTAATGGGAAGAGGATAAAAAGAGGAGGAGACTGGAGAACACTTCGGTTTTGGTTGGTTTGGTTTGGTTTGGTTTGGGGTATGTGTATGGAGAGTATTTTAATAGCCATATCATCATTGTATCATGAAATTTATTCACAGCACAGCACCAGAAGAAAGGTGAATTCAAAGAGTGGCAGAAGCAATGCAAAGAGGGTGACAGCTTCCCCTGGGAGGTCTGGCTGGCCCCTCTCCATTGCCCCCTGCCTCGAGGGCCTTCAGTCTGTCTCTTCCCCCGCTGGGGCGACAGGCTCTGGTCCAGCCGGCTCCTCTCGGGTTGAAATTCTCTGGACTTCAAAAGCTCAGGCCTGCTTCCGCCTGGGCTAGGCTGGGCTGGGTAGGGGGTGGGCGAGAACCCCCGTAGGTGACTTGGAGATAAGATGCTCCCGTTGTTTCAAATGGAATTGGAGGTCCAGCCGAGCCACCAGACGCCTCTGATGGGCTGAAACAGCTTTGCTTCCCAAGAAAACCCGGCTCAGGAGAGCGGCGGGTCTGGCGGCGGTTGTTGGGTCTGCCTCAGTGGTCACAGCCTCAGCACCCCACCCAGCCTGCAGGCAGGGGTGGGGGTGGGGAGCTCCCAGCCGCAAATGTGCTGGCCCCACAGGGAAGAGGCAGGACCAGGGCCAGGGGCCAGGAGTTGGGGAGGTTGCTTGGCTGTCAGCAAAAATTTGATCAGGAAAAAAATGGTTTGGCTTCTCTTTTCATAAGAACAAAGGGAGTTTCCTTTGGCTGCGGCTGTGGCTGTGTGAATATTGTTGTGTCCTCTGTACCTTCCAGGCTCTGGTGCAGACCATTGCCCCCTGAAGCTCCCACAGGGCCAGATCTCCACAGGAGAGAGGGAGGGAGAGGTTTTGATGGCTTTCTTCCAAGGAAGATGCCCACCTCTCTGAAAATCCAGCGCCACGGAAGGGTACACCCCTCCAGGACACACCTGGTGGAACAAAGTCCACTACATCTCAGAATGCAGGAGATGCAGACTTCCAGGGGCAGGAAGACCATAGTCCTAGCCCACCCTGCATCTGAGTCTCACAGGGTATCACTGGACTGTACTACTTTAGTGTGCAGGCATCACAGAACAATTTTCCCATCAGATAGGCTAAACCTGTGTCTTCTGAACTCTGGTTTGGACAAGCACCCCTTCCTCTTTGCACCTCTGGGAGCAAAGGCCCAAGCACCTGGGGCAGGAGGCTGGATGCTTTCTGGCCCCTAAGTCTGCTGTTCCTCAAGTCCCCTGAGGTAGCCAGCCCTGTCTTGGCTCTGGCCTCCTGAGGGCCCGAGCCTGGCAGCTTCCTGAGCTGGTTCTGCTGATATCAGCACAGTGATCCACATCCCCACACTCACCACTGGCCCAGCAGAGGACCCAGGACAGTCAGGAAGCCTTGAACGCTCCCTTAAACTGATTCTTGTCCTTTCCACCCAAGAGCAATTATCCAATACCCAAGTGCATGAAGGCAGGGTGGCTCCCTCCGCCACACTATCAGAAGTGATAAAATCATTTCCTTCACCATTGCTGGCCTGAAATTCGCTTTTGTTACAAAGCTGACACCCATTCCTCCTTTTATCTACATCAGAGTCCTTCAAAGGACTTCAGGAATTTGCAGTGCCTTTTTTCCCACAGCTGTAGCATGACCAGCAGTTCTGCCTCGAATGGCCAGGACATTTGAGTGTCAGGCCCTGGCCCTGTCCTCCTCCAAGGCCCTGGTCTTGAGCATGGCCCAGTCCCCAACAATGCCTTTCCACTCCATCAGCCAACCCTCCATAATGCCCCACCATTGCTGGGATCTAGTTAGGTCCACAGGCTTCTCAGTGCATCCTGCCACCGGTTCCCCCCACACACAGTTTCCCAGCAGGGCAAAGGGAAACCCCACCTGGAAGTCTAGGATCCCATGATAAGAGCAGACCACTATTCTAAGCATTTGGTACTTTCACACACCTGGGCTTTTTTCATGCTTACAACAGGCAGGCCCTGGGGAAGATATGAATCATCCCTAGTTTACAACTGAGAACTCTGAACCACAGAGAGGAACCTCACACCTAAGTGAGAGGATTCCCCT